CCTTCACCTAGGTCCTCCTCCTTCTTCTCCTCAGTCTTTCTCCTCCTCCTCCTCAGTCCTCCTCCTCCTCCTCAGTCCTTATCCTCATCCTCCTCTTCAGTCCTCCTCCTCGTGGGTCCTCTTCCTCCTCTTCATCCTCCTCCTCTTCTTCCTCAGTCCTCAGTCCTCCTCCTCATCCTTCTCGTCAGTCCTCCTCCTCCTCAGTCCTCCCTCAGTCCCCCTCCTCCTCCTCCTATTCAGTCCTCCTCCTCCTCCTCCTCAGTTCTCCTCAGTCCTCCTCCTTCTCATTCCTCCTAAGTCCTCCTGAGTCCTCCTCCTCTTCCTCCTGAGTCCTCCTTCTGGGTCCTCCTCCTCCTAGTTCCTCCATCTTCTCCTTCTCCTCAGTCCTTTTCCTCCTCAGTCCTTCTCCTCCACCTCCTCCTTCTCCTCCTCCTCAGTCATCCTCCTCAGTCATCCTCCTCAGTCATCCTCCTCAGCCATCCTCCTCAGCCATCCTCCTCAGTACTCCTCAGTCCTCCTCCTTCTCAGTCCTCCTCAGTCCTCTTCCTGAGTTCTCCTCCTCCTCCTGAGTCCTCCTCCTGGGTCCTCCTCCTCCTAGGTCCTCCTCCTTCTTCTCCTCAGTCCTACTCCTCCTCCTCAGTCCTCTTCCTCCTCCTCCTCCTCCTTCTCAGTCATCCCCCTCAGCCATCCTCCTCAGCCATCGTCCTCAGTCCTCCTCAGTCCTCATCCTCCTCCTCAGTCCTCCTCCTCTGGGTCTTCCTCCTCTTCATCCTCCTCAGTCATCAGTCCTCCTCCTCAGTCCTCCTCCTCATCCTTCTCGTCAGTCTTCTTCATCCTCAGTCCTCCCCCAGTCCCCCTCCTCCTCCTCCTATTCAGTCCTCCTCCTCCTCAGTTATCCTCAGTCCTCTTCCTTTTCAGTCCTCCTGAGTCCTCCTCCTCCTCTTCCTCCTGAGTCCTCCTCCTGGGTCCTCATCCTCCTAATTCCTCCTCCGTCTCCTTCTCCTCAGTCCTTCTTCTCCTCCTCCTCCCTCTCAGTCATCCCCCTCAGTCATCCTCCTCAGTCATCCTCCTCAGTACTCCTCAGTCCTCCTCCTTCTCAGTCCTCCTCAGTCCTCTTCCTGAGTCCTCCTCAGTCCTCTTCCTGAGTCCTCCTCCTGAGTCCTCCTCCTCCTCCTCATGAGTCCTCCTCCTGGGTCCTCCTGCTCCTGGGTCCTCCTCCTAGGTCCTCCTCCTTCTCCTCCTCAGTCCTTCTCCTCCTCCTCCTCAGTCATCCTCCTCAGTCATCCTCCTCAGCCATCCTCCTCAGCCATCCTCCTCAGTACTCCTCAGTTCTCCTCCTTCTCAGTCCTCTTCCTGAGTCCTCATCCTCCTCTTCCTCCTCCTGAGTCCTCCTCCTGGGTCATCCTCCTCCTAGATCCTCCTCTTCTCCAATCATACATCTACGTCTCCAATGTCTCCAAGCTTGTCTCCAATGTCTCAAACTTGTCCCCAATGTCTCCAATGTCTCCAAAAGCTGTGTCTCCAATGTCTCCAATGTCTCCAGGACATGTCTCTGCACCCTATCTTTTCAAAAAAGACAAGAGACATTGGAGACATTGGAGACATGTCACCCCCCCCCCCCCCCCCCCTTTATAATGAATATACTACTATACGTAAATCGTCTGATAGTTAGTGAGAATAGGAGCAATTGGTTTACAATAGCTCGCTATCAAAATAAAACCCGAAGTGATTCGACTTCGAATGAAATCTACTGGAAATCCATTCATCACGGCCATGAATCAAAATAGGAATTCTATCGTGGGAATAGCTACAGAGGACGTAGGGAACTATCATAATTATGAGAAACCCTGGCACCGGTCATATCCGGCAGTTTTTACATTACGAGCCGACTATCTCCTAGACAGCTATTGACAGCCTGACAGGGCGGCTCACTCAAATTTGAACTGTGACACGTCCAAATTCCACGTTAAATTGGGTTTAAATGTAGTAACCAGATTCATTATAAATAACTTTATGTCATGATAATCAATATGACCATCAGCTGGTTAGGTTAGCGTGTAACAAATATGCAATAAATTGTTGGACGTGGGTATGGAGACCAGCCTCACAGAGCTAGCTCTATGAGGCTGGTCAACAAACCAGCAGGACAATAAGAAAATGTAAAACATGTCCCGTCAATAGGTCTCAGCGAATCTTAACATTAGTTGAAATATACAAATATAAGAAAATGTAAAACATGTCCCGTCAATAGGTCTCAGCGAATCTTAATATTAGTTGAAATATACAAATATGCAATAAATTGTTGGACGTGGGTATGGAGACCAGCCTCACAGAGCTAGCTCTATGAGGCTGGTCAACAAACCAGCAGGACAATAAGAAAATGTAAAACATGTCTAGTCAATAGGTCTCAGCGAATCTTAACATTAGTTGAAATATTCTCCTTAACATCACGAAGCTATTGTTAACAAAGAAGATAAACATTGTGTGTAACAAAATAACTTGATGAACGTGTGTATAAACTCTTCACACCACTTTATATTTGTCGTACGGATGCCAATTATGGATCGCTTCCCCTGGTTTAAAGTTCTGACTGAAGATTGATTAAAAAGGAATTTTCAACTAAAACGATAAATGAGGAAGAAATTTAAACAGGCAACTAAGAATTTGCTTCACGGGTCATCATGTGCTGACATGCACCCTGTTAGCGTTCACGTGCACCCTCTCAGTTTCTCATTTGATCTCATGCAGATGCAGTAGAGGTGCCGACCAGAGTAACAGGTCACTGTTAGAACAGTGATTATTGAACATATGATAGATAACAACCAATACTACAGTGGTGGATTAAAATGTCACCTGGTCAAACCCGGGGTGGACTATTTACATTGAGCGTCCCAACGGCTCCTGACACATGGTAGAACCTGGTAAGCTCGGGAAATTGGGTCAAACTTAACCCTAATTGTCATGTCCTCCTGTAGGTTTTACCTTATGAATTTATAAAATTCACTAGTGTAGTTAGAGTATGGTGACACTTGAAAGCCACGAACTTTAGTTGCTCAAAGCTATCAAAATTAGGGTTAAAATGTTAATTGAAGTATGTGAAATGTGAATGTGACTTGTATTCTGTACAACTATTTCTAGTTCATGACGTAATCATGGCGTGTGTACCTTGAAATTGCCGAGCCAAGCTGTGGTAGAGATAACAAATTGAACAGAGGGTCAAATACAGATAAGAAAAGTAAACAGACAATATATATAATATCCGTCTGCTCACTCTTCCTGTTTGTGAGTGGACGGATCGGTGTCACGTGACATAACACCTCTATTACAATTGGTTGCTCAGTCAGGATCACGGAGTGCATGGCTGCCCGTCGTTCAGAAAAAAATGTAATTCAGTTGTTATTATGATTGTTATATCATGGTGTTGGTTACCTACCTTCATTGTCTTTATTTTGACTGAAAATTGTGATAGTACCTGTTCGAGTTGTTAACGAGACGATATCCTTGTTCTTTCGTTGCAGAATCAAAATGTTCTTTGCTTGAGTAAAACATGAATTGTGAGTGTTGTTGGGCTGTGAAACCAACCTAAATCGATGTCTCGCACAATGGTAGGTGAGAAACAGTCACCAAAATGAGTTGCTAACCTGCTGTGTGTTTTCGTACTCTGCTCTTCACTCAAGTTGCAAGCTGCAATAAACATATTGCAACGAACATATCTATCTGAAAATTGTGTTAGTACCTGTTCGATCAGTTAAGGTGAGGATTGCCTCGATCTTTCGGTTTCAGCTTAACTCCCTAGGCCCTAGGTCATGAGTAGAACCGAAGGATCAAAATATATGTTGCTTGTTGCTCGTATTAACTATATAAAACATCCATTTTGAGGGATGAGGAAGTGTTTATAGGTTCTGAAACCTAGTTAAATCGATTTTTCGTGCAATTTTAGGTCAGTAACAGTCATCAATAATGAGTTAATAAGAAGGTCGATTTCTCGGTTATTTTTAAGTTTTCGTTCAGAAAATAATTCGGGACCTTCAAAGGGGGGTAACAAGAAGGAGTTACAAGTGTTACAAGCGTTCTATAATACAAAATTTGCATCACCTCTTCAACCTGCTGAATAGAGGCGCCACCTAAAACGTAAACAAACAATTATCACCTCCCCGCCAGTATCCACATCTATTACCTCAGGTAATTAGGTGAACAGCAGTTCATACATAAAGTCAACCTTCTCTTATACTGGAGCTGCAATTACTTATCACCAAAATAGAAAATATATGTAAAAATAGTGCAGTGTTAATATACTTTACTGAGATATAAAGGTCCCTCAAATATAACAAGAATAGCAATCTGTGACTCTGTAGCTTTTTCAGGGAAAGAATTATAAAGATTTACTCAAAAGCTGTTTATTGGGTTGGGTAAGCGCAAGAGCTGATAGTGAAACATGAATTTGTAACAGCGATAATAAGCAATGCACTTATCTTACAGATATCAAACGTGTAATAAGGTGCTCGTTGCGACTTTAGAACGTGTCACACGGCAGCAAGGGACGGGGTTGAGCACAACAATTACAATCTGTTCTTTGAACATCATTGAACCGTGTCACCCTTATTGATTAGAAACTTCAACGCTTTTAATAAACTATGCCTGTGCTGCTATCCTCATGGAATAGAAGATGAAAGAAGTTTGTCCCAAGCACTGTAGTTTGACTAACATTGTAGCTCAATTATTGTCAACTTTAAGAACAATAGTCCCTAGATACACACTACACTCATGAAGATCACCTCAAACTTTGATTTGTTTTATTGGGCAGGCGTGTAGGACTGATATTACTCGAGAAAACGTTCTAGCAAAACTTGAACGATATTCTTTAAGTATAGATTCATCAATTTCATGACCCATGCAACAGAAGATAGATCTCTGCACAATATTATTATTATTATATTATTACAGAACTATTGTTCACCCAATAACAGGACAAATAAGTATATTTTCTTAAATAAACAAACAGTTTCAGAAATGTTATTTATGTAATGTAACGCAATAAACATGACCGGTACGATTTTAAGGAGGTTGACCTTCAGAGGACAAAGTTCCAGCAATGCTGCCTCTTCAAGTGGCTTTCGCACAGAAACATTCAGAGAGGACTTCACAGGAAACTGCAAATCAGGTATTTTAAATCTCACTTATGTTTCCTTGAATTCCATCACTTAGTAGTATCACGTGCACTATTACCTTAATCAAACATGTCTTTGTATTTCATATTATAATAATTTATGATATCCCGATCAGCACTGTTTCTCGCTGGGAGCAAACAACTAACAGTCATCTCAGAAAATGGCTAGGAGTGGGACACACGCTTAGTAGCTCTTGCCTGTTTTGTCATTCATCCAGTGTTGCTCTCCCCATCGACAGCCTAACCGACACTTGGAAAGTAGAAAAGTGCCGTCTCTTGCAGTCATATCAAACATCTCAGGATGCTTTGATCAGAGCGGTGCAACCCCAGGTGCGGTCTGGGAGAGTTTGGAAGGCAGATGCTCAGCTTCACGAAGCTGAAAGAGACTTGGTGTGTGAGTCAGTGCGAGGTATGGTGCAACCTCTTAGTAGAGCGGGAATTGGTTTCGGTGATTGGAAGAAGCCCTGGGAGAAGATGTCAGAAAAGGAGCAGCAGAGGGAGGTGTTGGATAGGGTTAAGGAGAACATCAGGAAGGAAAGAGAGGTGCAGTTGGGTACGTTGGAGATGCAGTCCAGGTGGGGTAATTGGAGAGAGCTGGTGATAAGGACTGACATGAGCTGGCACACGCTCTTCAAGTATGGGGACTCATTAATCGGTTTTCTGCTTAGTGCTGTGTATGGCACGCTTGTTACACCAGCTTTAGCATCCAAGTGGAGCGAGGATGAGGATGGGATGTGCAAGCTGTGTGGTGACAAGTTGGGAACTGTGCCGCATATCCTGGCTGGTTGTCCTGTGGCACTAAGTCAAGGGAGATACCGATGGCGCCACGATAAGGTGCTTAAACAAATAGCTGACCAAGTTAAATTCCATTGTGAGCGGAGTCAACAAGAGGAAGAGTTCTTGTGTCACTCGGAAAGCCATTGAGTTTGTTCCAGCAGGAGGGAGGTTTAAGGAGGTGAAGAGGTCGAAAGTCAGTGAGTTTGGGATTCTGAGTGGGGCCACTGATTGGATAGTATTAGCAGACCTGGATAAGCAGCTGAAATTCCCGTCGGATATAGCAACGACCAGATTAAGACCAGATTTGGTTCTTTTCTCGAAAGCTTCCAAGAGAGTAATCTGGTGGGAGCTTACAGTACCGTCGGAAGAGAGAATAGCTGCATCCCATGAGCTGAAGCTTGATCGGTATAACAGTCTACAAGCGGAAATACAAGCTAATGGGTGGTCATGTTTCAGCTTTGCTGTTGAGGTTGGTGCTAGAGGTGTGGTCGCAGCAAGTTTGGAGTGTGCATCAAGGAAAATTGGTCTGACTGGGAGAGCCCTCAAGAAGTTGGTCAGGGATTGTGGGAAGGATGCAGCCCATTGTTCAAGATGGATTTATCTGCTGTCTAGGAAAAGAGAGTGGGAGATGAGAGCTTTATGACTTCACCTAACAGCCAGAGGTGCCATAAGCTAACTCGTCGTAAATCGCGAGCTCTAGCAGGTATCCTCGGGTGATTGTCAGATCAGATGGTGGTCCAAGAGAGACTGCTGGGGCACCTGACAGAAAACCGTATCGCAATGAAAGCCCCGAAACGGTGTCAGGTTTGTGACTGAAGATTCTGATCAAGCTCAGGGTTGAGTCTACACAGTGTCGCCACTTGCCGATGCCAGTTGATGCGAGAAGACACTGATGTAGGTGGGAAGTTATGTCTAAGAAACAGCGTGTGGTTCGGGTGCCGGTTGAACGCATGTAAAAGGGAGGGTATACCCGTATTTCGCTGCTAGTGATGCAGTCCTTGGCCCGGTAGCTAAGGCTTCCCCGTTTCTCGCTCATTTGTGCTCCGATGGGCTTGTGACCTCTGCGGGGGTCAAGTGCAGAATGAGGGACATGGCCGACCAGGAGAAGGTTGTTTTTGGGAGATAGAGTAGGGTTGGTTTGGTGTTGTGCCTTCGCAGTTTAACTGTATCTTTACCCTGACTTCCTGTGATTAATAATTAATGACATTACCTTTTCAGTGAGCTACTATCTGTCGATGATAGAGAAACATCTGCACCCTAAGATTATAAACCGGAAAAAACCCAAAGCAAAACATGTGCGCGCGCTCCTGAACTTGAAGCAACTGCTTGTTTCTTTTGTAAGGGACCTTGAGTGTAATTCTATGGGACTCTGGTTCAATGAGCTTGTTTGTGATCAACAGAGAGGTCACGAAGTTCTACTTAAACTTCTCAGTAATCTGGTATATAATTATAATTAATTAATTAATTAGCAAATCAAATAACTATTCTTGATCAACACGGTTTACCAAAAGTTAATAATCTGATACAGATATTGATCATAACTAACTCAGTTTGCCAAATGGTTAATTACTTTGTAAATACATTTCTTAGTTCTTGGGCCGGGTCAACCTGACTTATCTTAGGTCACAACGCCTGTAAGAGCAGGAAAGAAAGGAATGTCACGTGATGGTACAGAACAGGAGCTCTGTGCTAAGTGTCTTGTTCTTATCAGCAACAACAGGCTCGGACTCAACTGTCTCGCTTCATATGAGCATGGCTATCAGGTTAGTCTAATGAGCGTGATAAAGTTTGTGGTAAACATATTTAACAGATTAGCAGTTAAGTAACTATGTGAAAGGAAACAATAAAACCCTCAGATTGATAATTCATATATGATACAAAGAAAACTCCATTTACAAACGTGAGGAGAGTTAGGACTCCTCCATAACTACATTAAATACATTCCTTCTGTAACGTCCTCAATAAATGTAATAGATTTGTAGTGTTGTAATTAGTTTAAAATCTATATTAATCTATTTCAGATCTTACTCCAAGGATTAGCTAGTGGTAGGTACGGTGCAGTAAAACATATTTGCAGTATTCTGCTTCTGTACTGCAAGCTGGGTGACTCTAACCATTCTAAACTGATCTCTCATATGGAGTGCTTCAAAAAGGTAAATGTCTCATTGGAATAGATAACATCTTATCGGTTAATATCGTATTTATTTATTTCCTTTACGCGATTTGCTATAAATCTTACCATTTCTTTAAACGCTATATTAATAATCAGGTACTTATACAATATACACTGCCTAACATGAACCGTAATTTCAGAAAGAAGGAAACGAAAGTAAGTTTAGTGTGATTATAAAGTTGTTATCGGAAAGAGTTGAGGACTTCACCTTCACTTCCACATTATTAAACCTACTCACTGCAGTTGTTCATTCTTCTCCTTCTCTTAATATCCGAACCTTCTACCAGCAAGAAGTAAGTTAATAATAAATTAGTTAATATAAATAAGTTAGTTAATATTAGTGTTCAACTAAACATTTAGTTCAGCTTGTTTCTTAATTGATTGCTACCTTATTTTCCTCTTACTCCTATCATAGTTAATTGTATTACTAAGTGATAATACGTATCAGGTAGAATTAGAACTAGCAGTTGAAAGTATTATAGAGGGAGTACCCACAACTGCTGTATCGCTCCACAAAGCTATGCGGGAGTGGCGGGACAACTGTATTGATATCCCTGTGATAACCCGGAAACTGGAAGCAGCTCAAGCTAGATCAGGGTTACTGCAGGAAGAGTGCAGGGCGCTGAGAGATAAGCTGGGGGAGAAGGAGGAGATGACACGTGCTCTGGCGCGGAAACAACAGCAACTACTGGGGTCACATGATACTACCAATAATGAGGTCAATGCTGTTTTATTATCACTCTAACAAGGATTAAAGTAAATTGTGGACGACAATTGTGAGGCATGCAGCGTGACTCCACAAATATCGTTGTCAGCCGAACAATCACTCATCCTAGAGTTTGTCCTGTTAACTCAGGATCTCTAGAAAGCTTCTCATACAATTCTGTATTATAACTGTCAGTTTGCTCTTCACGTTATTAAACTATCAACTATTTCCAATTCCATCAGCTTGCACAATAAGAGCATATCCATTATTTCCTCTGAAGATTCATTCGTTCAGCATATGAAAACTAGTATTATGCTCAACTGCAATGCCAGTCCGTCAGTTTGTCAAATCGACTTTAATTTACTTTCACCTCGTTATAAGGTCACAACAATTACGATATTCCGACATTTTACTCCTCTTTTTTTATGATCATTACGTGATGATTTCATGTCAAAGAGTAGCCATACCCCTTAATGGTGTGTTGGAATCTTTGCATTTCATTTGATCACGTGCCACCTGGTGATTTACAATACAGAGGCGACATGTAATTACGTGATCTGGCAATCTGGTCATGGTTCCTCCGTGCCTCAGGGCTGTGGCTCCACGTAGATTCACTTTAATCATCTAAATTAGTTACTTAATTAAATTGTGACCGGATCAAATATGCTAAAAGGGTCTACCGTTTTAGAGAAATGGAAGACGCGTTGTCTTGAGTTATGTTCTACTCTGCGCTAAGTTTACAATTAGCGCGCGTGTTTGTGTACGCGCTTAAAATTTAGCATGGATAATACTTCAAAATTGAAAGTGAACCATTCTGCGATCATCTTACTTCCGCCTGCATGCTATGTCCACCCGGCACACTGGACAGCTGTTACCCATTGCAAAGGAAATAGTTTAATTAAATCAATGTTTTGATTACTAATTGTAGCGAGACTTCCATTCGACGACTATTTTACTAAACCCTGTCACCTTTTCAGCTCTCCGACATGCGTTGCCGAATGGAGGATCTCTCCAAGGAACTGATCAGAGAAAAAGTAAAAGTACAGCGATTAGAGTCAACTCAAACCAACAGCCAGCCCAGTGTAAACATAACAAGTTTAGTAAACAACAGCAACACACATCAGAAATACTCCTCAACTAGAAGATCTCGCGGAGAGAGTAAAAACAGGGGTCAAAGTAGCGGAACAGAAGATGTGGTGCACCGAAGGAAGAGTAGTGCGAGATCACGGAGACATCAAGACAATGATAACGCAGTGACACACGCCCAGATCGTGGCTGACAGGAGACTGAGTAACAGATCTAGTTCGGGAAGTGATTGTTATCATGATAGGAACGATAACAAATACTCGCAACACCCTGGTAAAACATTACCAGAGCAAAGCAGGATACCAGGCCAGGGCACACAGATAGCTCACGTAGCGACTAAAGTACCACTACCTGAATCCAGTAATACTGATCACAATAATTCCTACCCCGGCGATCTCCCACCACTACCCCGCAAAATGTCCACCCTGAGTCGGAGGAGAGTTCCAGGGTTACCACCTCCTGCTCCACCGGCTCCAGCACCACCACCACCTGCCCATGTAATGCCTCCTGCACCTCCACCAACTTCCGCCAACTTTACCCATACTCCACTAAACATGGACTTCCCTCCACTTAATGAGATCCCACCAGCTCCACCTCTACCTAGTCAGCTACTTTCTGTTTCTACCTCAGTACCACCAGCTCCACCTCTACCTCCACAACTTGCTGCTTCTAACACTCCATGTGACTCTACCCCTGCTAAAGAGGTGTCATGTCGGGCTCCTGGAGGCTCGGTCCGAACTTCAGATGTTAAAATATCCGTCAAAACTTCTTACAAAACGTCAGCTAAACCTGCAACTGAACCTTCAGTGAAAACTTCGCCGGAATCAAAGTCCTCGCCGTCTACTGCCGTACCTGAATCCAAAGCTAAACCAGCCCCTGCTAAGGTTCCGGCACCCCCTTCTGCCACTTCAGTTGCACCTCCAACTGCTCCACCCAAAGCACCTGTCCCTCCAAAAGCACCCACTTCAGCACCAAAGGCCCCTGGAGCACCTTCTGCACCGCGAGCCCCTGGGGCACCCTTCTGCACCGCGAGCCCCTGGAGCACCCTGTGCACCTGGGGCGCCACCACCCTCAGCTAAAATGACCTTGTCAAAGCAACCACAAGTTAAATTACCATTGTTGCATTGGAATGCTGTACGCCGTAACAACGGGTAGGTTGATTGTTAATCTTACTCAACAAGTTGTGTTATTCCGTGATATTGGACAATATTATCGTCATACTAGCGCGGCGGCATCACATCTGACTTCTGAACCAATTTTTAGCTATCTTAGATATTTAACGTTTTCTGGGTATGTCAACAATCCAAACAGAATCCATATCTCAAAATCACTTTCAACCACAGTACGTACTGGAACGATGTTAACATGGGTGAAATGCTTGATAAACTGGATTTGTCCCAGTTCGAGGAACAATTCAAACTAAAAACTAAGCCTACCTTGAGCAACGTTGCCAAGATCATCAAGCGAAAGGTAATAAAGGCATAGCTACTGTTAAAGTTAACTTATTGCTGTTCACATTCCAGCATATGTTAGGCTATGAACCGTGTAAGAACCATGTTACATCCTCTAAAAGTGAGCTTAATTTTCTTGTTACCAGATGAAAGATATCTGTATCTACAATTCAACTTCTCTTCAGGTGGAATGTTTGTCATTGCTGGACACTAACAGAGCAAGGAATGCGATGATAATACAGCGCCGGGTTGCTCTACAACCCTCTGATGTTGCACGCTGTGTAGAGCAGACTGACCTGGGGGATCTACCTTGTTAGTATTAGTAATTAATAATTAGTAATTAGTTATTAGTAATTAGTAATCAGTAATTAGTAGTTAGTAATTAGTATTATACATTAGTAAAACTGAGTTATTTTACTTTCATAGTTCTAGGTGATTGAGTGATACTATCTTCCGTCTCAACCCCTTCCTCCTTAACATGTAATGCACAAGACTTGGTTCCCTCTCCAAACCTTATTCGTGTTATTCTATACGAGCATCTGGGAATCATACGCTTCATTGGAATTTTTGTTTTTAAGTTTTCATTCGAACGACTTTAAATCGTTATACCACGTGTCGTTATACCACGTGACCGAGTATTGACAGCATTGTATTTCCAGTGTGGGCGGTGGAACTGTTACACGGTTGTATACCCTCTCGTGAAGAAGCAGATAAACTGATCTCAAACAGCACTAAACTGAACGAGTATGGAGAGGCTGAATTGTTCTGTTTCCACCTCAGTAAAGTTAACAGATATGACAGGAAGTTGGGCCTCATGCAGTTCATTGGAACGTTTGATGAACAATATGCCAGGCTTAGTGGTCAGGTATGTTTGTTCCATAATAGTATTACCATTACTATTAACTGAATTATCTGCTCGTTATTTATATCCACCTCAGTTCTTGCTGTTTATTTTATAACTTTGTAGTAGTTTAACCTCGTTATTACAGGTGAACGCAGTGAAAGAAGCTAGTCATTCAATAACTGTCAGCGACCGACTGAAGAAAGTTCTAGAGATTATCCTTGCTCTTGGAAACTTCATGAACAGTCAACGCAAGGGTCTTGCAGTCGGGTTCAAGATTCAGAGCCTTTCTAAGATCGCGGAGACACATAGTGGAGATTACAAGTTCACGCTACTGCACTATATTGTAAAGACGATACATGCTAACATGCCTGAACTGATCGGATTTACTATGGAGTTCGAGCATTTGGAAAGCGCTCAAAAGGTCAGATTATTTATTTTATTTTTTACCCTAATTAATGATTATTGCCTGATAATTCGATTAAATTGTGTTTCAGTTTATACAAAGATGTTGTCTGAAAGTACTGTTGACCTGACTTGACTCCTTGTGATCATTTTACAACATCCAAATTTGAATTTTATGTTGCCTTACTTTTTCAGGTGTTGTTAAAAGAGCTGATATCAGAAATACAGGAAATGAAGAACAATCTGGACACTGTCCTAGACGAACGCAACAAACAACGAGACAATTTCGTTATCTTCAGGTTATTGACCAATCAGAGCACAGCTTTCACATCACGTGACACAAATCCGCCGATCAGAATACCGTTTTCGAAAAGATGTCATTTTCGTGCCTTATGATATTCTTTCTCATTTCTCGTCTCACACTCGACCATCATTCTTTTATTGTCTACACTAAAAAACTGTGAACTAGATGAATTAAGATGATTAGTTCTAAACATTTATGCTGTTCCCAACTAACTGATTGCTTAATTTCTGAATAAGCTAATAAAACATTTCAGTTTCTACAACCGAGCTACGCGGAAAGTGAAGCGTCTTGGAGAACAGGCTAGGCAAATGTTACAATCTTACGAGACTGTTTGTAAAGGTTTTGGGGAGAATCCGCAGAGGATAGAACCGCAGGAATTCTTTAAATACTTCTCAGAATTCTTCTTGCAGGTAAGATTACTGAAGGATAACTATACGCAGAAAACACAGTATTGACACCACGTTACCCAACTAATGAAAACACTCCATTCTGTTCAAGTGATTCAGTACACGCACCTTACTACTACTACTCTGAAACTAATATGACTGCTCTATTCGTAGTGTTAGATATTTCCTTGTATTTAAGTTCGATTATATTTGCTTCTGTTTCATAACCACTTGCTTGTATTTCAGTTTGATAACATAGAGAAGAGTTTGTATCTGAGTGAAGAGAAGAAAAAGAAGAAGAAAGCTGTTCCTCTCACCAGGGATGTCTCCAGGAACCTGATCGAGGAGGCCATGGTTCAGCACTCCACCATGTACTGAGCTTCTTTGAAAATATTTCATTGTGTTATGTTTTTTTTTCAGTTTCATTGACTGAGCTTTAACTAGGATGTACTTTGGAAATAGGTATTTTGATAAGATCGAATCTTGTCCAGGCTCAATCGTGACTGTGTTAAATTATTTAATTTTGTATGATCGATAACTTACATTAACGATAATTATTAAACAGCTTTTAAAATCTACTATACGTCATGATGTGCATAAAACGTTTGATGGTTTTTATGTTTTAAATTTTACACAATAAATAAATTTGTACTGATTGTAATAATTAGTTAAATAGAGAAATTATTAATATAATGAAAATGTCCAGTTGACAGTTTAGGGTGCATTTTTTGTTTAAAGAACTTTTTCGAGGTTGTTATCAATATTACATGAATTATTAGTGCAGGACATGGACCTGATATTGTGCACATGCAGTTTTTTTGGTTGAAATGATCTTGGTTTCTGATCATATCAAAATTTGTTTGAATGATGGTTGCAGAGTGCAGACCACTCTATAGTCTATAGTAATGGGTCGTTCATATATTACTTAACCACTTTTTGGAAAAAATGTTGCCCCCTCCCCCCTCCGTAATCAGTTTTACACGTCATAGTTATTGTGTCAAAAGTACACTATCGTAATCATTTGGAAACGCCCCCCCCCCCCCCTCGGCTGATAACGTAATATGTGAACGACCCCTAACATAATCCACTAGACGTTGTGACAATATAAATATTATACTCAATACTATTATCATTGTTGTGTATTTACATTTTTATGTTTGTAGATTGGCCAATATACTTTGTACTCGTGTTTAACAGTTTAACCATAGCATTAACACTAACGGGTAATACAAGTACCCCATTCACGTGCAATATTTATTTAATTGAATATGTGAACCCTTCACAGCTCGTAGTTAACGGATGATACTCGTCTAAATTTCTTCGAAGTAGCGCGCGCCGCTTCCTTCTCGAAATACCGATACTATACGATGCACGAATGACGTTAATGGGCCGCGCTCAGCCTGTCATTCCGCCGAATCTCTATCTATGTTTATGAAGAATGACGAAGCTTCGAAGTATCGCGTGCCAGGTACTAACTACTACTTCTGATCGTCTTTGGGGTCACAGCAAAGACGGGGGTGCAGCTGGTTCATATCACGGGGAATCAGAAGACGAATGCTATAAGTATACTGAAGAGAGTAATTGTATTTTGAAATCCACATGATTGTTTTACCGCGTGCGTCCTTCAGTTATTTTCATCACGCGGGAATGAAAAATGACGAATGAATACCTTACGTGTTACGAGACATATTTATTTTTGATTTAATTCCGGTGACCTAAATGAGTTGTGGAGTTGGGAACGAAAATATGGGAATTTTTACCAAAAACCGCCACATTTCATATCCCAAATTAAATCATGGTTTTTGGGGTATTTTTGAACATCGAAAGTCTCGCGACGAGAATATGGCCAAATATAAATTCTCATTCTCAAAAATTCATTTTGAGTATCAATTGGATCACATTGCACTGATATGAAGAATGATTTGTTTGTTTGTTTATAGAACCCGTCCCCAATCTCGTATCAGAAAATGACTAAACTCAGGTCTGAGTGTGAATACGGGTGGTACCTACAAGTGTATTCATTAAGCTATTAGTATTAAGCATTTAGATTTCTGTAAAACTGCAGTTACAATTGTGCGAGAGTATTTTTAGTATGTACGATCGATATCAGGACTAAATCCCTACATCAACATGCTTCCAAAATTTTTAATCTCCAACTTTCTGCACAATGTACTGGAATGTTTTGGAAAAAAAGAAAGTGATATAAATAAAATCAACGATTTAATGTTAGGAAGGTCAAATTAATTCCCTGGTTCCTTAAGTCTTTAAGTCAGCTTTAAAGTCGGAAAATCAAAGTATGTAGGGTCTATACCAAACCGATTATTGAGCGATGGTAGCTAAATAGTAATTGGTTCCTGGGATACAGAGTCTTCCTGATTCCTCAGTCTTTGAGTGTGGTTCTTGTTCTTGTTCAGTTCTGTCCATATTTCCTCGTGTTATGTTCAAAGTTTTAGAGTGTCATGTTGTCCTGTATGGATAATTTCTAAAGCGTGTAATTTTTGGGCTTGTGTGTTTTAGCGAGTATAGAGCAGCATAGCTTGAAGAGATCAGAGACGTGCTATATGATTAATTATTAGAGATAAATTTAAGGAAAGTGCTAAACTGTGCAGTGGAGCTAAACTGTGCAAGTGACGAGGTTTAACTGCCGTGGTGCTCTTTTAATGGGTTGACCAGCCCACCAATTTGACGCTCGTAATTATTGACTCAAACTCTTTTCGACATCCTATACTCTGGAGTCCACATTTTTTGGCAGCTATTTGACCTTAGGAACAACAGATAAGCCGGCTATGTTTCATGTTTGGCGTAATTGCACGTGGACGCGCCGCGGTTACCATGGCGATGTTGGCTGCAATGTATGCGCGGTGCCGGTACGCGTGCACGCTCATTTATTTATCTTTCACTTCCAATTGCTCTTTATCTTATAAAAAAGCTGACTGATAGTGATAATGGTAAATTTAAGTACAAGTGCAGCAGTGCTCGCTGAAAATGAGATCAATCTGAATCAGTTGTCTGCAGCTGTAATTCTTCTAGGAGTATTGGTATTGGCTCTAGGATTCCTCGTCATCGGACTTCACATCCGTACAGTGAACAAAATTTCGGAGGTCTTCAAAGAAATTGACTTGGAAGGGGGACTACAAGTTCCTAAAGAAAAGCCACCACAACAGGGCCCCTTACAACAGGGTTTGCCAGACCCAAGGTTTCCTGCTTCAAGGACGCTCGATAGTAGGTCAAAAATATGGAAAACGAGAACGGAGAGGGATAGATCAGCGCGTTCAAAGGTACAATTTTTAAATGATTCAGCTTCATTTTCAATTTTATTTCACAACAATTCAAATTGATTCAAGGTTTCATTACTTTTTTGATGCAATTTAGTCTCTTCATGTACACTATTTGGAACTTAAATATTTTTAGTTGTTACATGCTTATTGCTTAATATAAATTGTAAAACAGTAATTTCTTTTAGGTAGGTTTGGGTGCCCGCAAACACAAATACGTGTCTTCGAGTATCTTCCCAGATGAACTCGTTTTCATCTCCGAGAGTGAAGATTCCATACGGGTGAAGAAATTCTTAACGGCGGGTAGAGAAGTCGTCAAAAAAGAGGCGCCTCCAAAAGAGGAGGATGGAATAAACTCCTGTGGAAACAATGAAGTTGAGAAGAAAACTGACAAAGGGGATCAGACTGTCTCTGAATATTTGACATCAAATGAATCAGAAAGTGAACTATACACCTACCCAAATGGAGCAGGGACAGTGACATTTGCTTCAAGTAACACAACAGACGAGTTACAGAGAAATCGTAAATCTATCTCAGAAAATAATCTGCTAATCAGAGACAATATATTTCGCGGAGCTGGCCAGTTCCCGAAACAGCTTGTAACGAGATCTCGTGACCAGGTAAATGGATAGTTTAACAAATGAACTTTTCATAAGTCATTTGGTACACGAATTAAGTTTGTTGAATCTTGTAAAACCTTCGCATTTGTGATACAAGCATTAATACAAATAGTTTTTCCTTGAAAGCTTATCAACTGATCTGAAAATATGTAACTGCAATCTATAAAAATCAATTTAAGCAACACTGATTTATTGCAGAATCAGGGGGATCTTAGCCTAATTTAATCTCATTTTATCTCTGCAGAATCAGGGGGATCAGGATAATTGTCTTACTGTTTGAAAAGGCTACCGACATACGCTCTGACACACGCTCCGACACACGCTCTGACATACGCTCTGACATACGCCCGGACACACGCTCTGACATACGCTCTGACACACGCTCTGACATACGCCCGAACACACGCTCTGAAATACGCTCTGACACACGGTCTGACATAGGTACGCTCTGACACACGCTCTGACATACGCTCTGACACACGCTCGGACATAACGCTCGGACACACAGTCGCGGTCTGACACACGCTGACATACGCTCTGACACACGCTCTGAAATACGCTTGGGCAAACGGTCTGACATACGCTTGGGCACACGCTCTGAAATACGCTCGGACACACGCTCGGACACACGGTCTGACATACGCTCTGACACACGCTCTGAAATACGCTTTGACACACGCTTGGACATAACGCTCGGACAAACGGTCGCGGTCTGACACACGCTCAGAAATACGCTCGGACACACGCTCGGACACACGCTTGGGCACACGGTCTGACATACGCTCTGACACACGCTTGGACATAACGCTCGGACACACGGTCGCGGTCTGACACACGCTGACATACGCTCTGACACAGTGACACACACTCTGCAGCAGCAACTGCAGACACCACAGTTATGGGATAGGATGCATTAATCGTTCCTTGTTATTATTCATAAACCAGAAAAAAACCCACAAAAATGTTAAAAGAGGCAAAAACAAAGAAAAAACAAAAAAAAACAAAATCCAAAAAAATTACTTTATAATGCGGTTGTTCCTTTTTACAACAGCATTCATTAATTCGATATCATTTTTCCGATATCAAAAAGCCCAATGAGCTTGTTTCACTTGTATAAAACTTGTGTGTTTCTTAGAACTTAACGAATTATTTTATAAAATAAAACAATATTATCTTTTAAAATACATATTTGATAAAGAATGATGCTATTATATTTGAAGAAGAATGATTTGGTATATCACTATTTTTGAGAAAATGAGAAATCCATGCTGAATTTTTCAAATTCAAAAATAATTTTTGAGACATTTTTGAATATATTCCCGGCAAAAATGGTCAATTTCTCAGATCCAAAAATTCGCAAAAATACTTATGTATCATTGCATTTATACTATAAAAACTATAATTACTCACTAAAGTTATCACAGTTCACACATTCCGATTCGTTATCACATTTCCCCGATGTATGTCTGCAGACAACGAATGATCGAAAATTCAAATGTGAATTACAATCTTTATAAATCAGTCTTTATAAATCAAAGTCGTCTCCTTTTAAAATTTTGGAAGTATATGAATAACATGCAGTAAACCTTAATTTTAAATCTTTAAAATGTTGTTTTCGCTTCGTCTGAAAAATCAATTACTGGGCGAATGAGGTAAATGTTTTTAAATATCCGGCTGACTTGTTTAGTCCATGCCATTGTAGTCTTCCTTCATATCGTCATCTTCAGCATACTCAGCGGGACAGTTGTGGTTATTGTCTGTCCAGGGGTTCGTGATGTGATCACCCATGTAGATACTACAAAAGAAGCAGTCGTAGTCCTTTTTGTCCCCGGTAAAACGAGCTTTGAACCCCTTCTTTTTGTTGAATTTCCCTGAACATTTTCAAATATTTTAGCTAAGAATTTCATATGTTTTGCACGAGTGTCTCAGAATATATATCTTTTGCAGCAAATCCGGGTGGCAGTAAATTGGGGCGCAGTTATAAATGAGTTAACTGGGGTATTCTTGTAACTATTGACATGTTTTTAATCGTCAGTAATTCCTACCTTGTGTGGTGTAATCGACTCCTTCTTGAAAATATTCTGTTTTGTAGTCATCTCCACCTTCTATGTGTACTCCTCCCCACTTCACATGTACGTCCATGTTCTTTAGCTTCATCTCTTCTCCATCTTTCAAAACCTGAAAATCAAAAACTAAATTGAACGTTTTCTTTTTTTCAATATATAATACAGTATAGCTGACATTTGAATGTATTTCATTACAAATC